ATATAAATATATTTTGCAAAACAAATTTCAACGGTTGAAATTGATTGCCGACAGTTTAGGTTTCCATCAGAGAGAGTGCATCCCCGATCATTCACTTTGTTCGACAAAGGGGCTGATCCTATCACTATGATCACCCACTGAGGTGAATTCTCAGACTGTCCCAACATACCCAGATTTTGACCCCCTCTAAGGATCTCATTGATTGGCATATCAAAGACAGCTCAATCCGACACCTAGTGTAGTATCATAATCGAGTCTAGGGGTCAGGTGTAACATTCCAGTTTTGCCCATATATTTCCAAGGTTCAGGGCAATACTGGAATTCTGATCCGGTTCAGGGTTTCAAGAAAACCCACATTGCATGTATCTCAGGTCTCACCCTGGCAGTTGACACAAGCCACCCCAACCAACTTGGTGGCACATCAGTGTCAGCCTTGGCAGGATAAATCTCCCAAAATCTATCCAACGGCTATGAAGATTCTAAACTAACACGAGTCTCATATGTGTCCAGTTTAAGGGTATTACACAGAAACACACCATAATAACATGAATCAAATATGTACTTTATTCATTTACAATAAATGTCATAATGTACATCATTCTGATTGGAAATAAGGGCATACACTGTCTAACAATATTATTATCCAAGCCCACAACAGGTTGATAGGATCATCTTCTATCTTCTATGACTTCGCCTATGAAATTCCGTTCTCTTACACAGTTGAGTTGGGTGTTACTCCCAGTTCGGGAAGTTGAGAATCCCACATAAACTTTCTCAGGAAGATATTCAGACAGATCAATTGGATATAAAATCAATGGATCCACAGTTCCATTACTCATGACAAGAAAGACTGACTTTCTACGCTTTCAACGTCATGTTACATTGAATGTTGAAGGTAACATCAGTTCCGCTTGAAAGATTGACGCCATAACCATTCAATGAAAATTTCTGCCTAGAGTAAATGTCATCCACACCTACATGGTTGTCATCAACGTCTTCTGAAATAACTATTGTCTAGTGCTAAAGCAAGCTTTCAAAAATCTCTACTAAGACTGTGTTTGGTTGCAGTGCAAATTTTTTTGCATTAATACAGATTTAATTTTGTTTTGGATTTTACTTTATTCTATTTCATATCTTAATTTACTTCATTTATACTGCAATCAAATAAAATAAGTTAAAATCTGAAACAAAAATAGGTCAGAATTTACATCTCAAATCATTTGCGTTGTTATAATTTTGCATCAGTGCAAATTTATTTGCATTGCAACCAAACACAACCAAGGGATTACGTTGGTTACAATGGTTTTAGCTCAAGTCTATGTGGAAGTGGTTCAAGAAAAAACAAAAGAATAAGATGTTTTTGACAATTTAATGAACAATTGAGGGTATTTTTGTCTTTTACAACTTAATGTTTTGAAAGATTAACAAAGTATATATATAAGCAGGATACATTTAAGTAATTTTTTTTAAATACATAGGGTAAAAATTCGAGGATTCCCCGTCTCCCACAGAGAGTGGTTGCCCCGCTTTGCCACTGGGACGAGTTCACATTTCCGCCCCACAACACCCCACCCCACATCCCCGTCGTGTATTGGTAATATCCCTGTGTGGGGCGGAGATCTGAACTCCATCGGGACGGGGCCAGAGCATCTTTTTGACGTGATGGGATCTGTTCCTCACAAATGGGCGCCTCACAGGCACATCCACCGTGCATTGGGAACACCTCTCTTGAATAATAACTAATAAGTACGGGAGATGTTCTCAATGCATGATTAGATGCACGTGTGAGGAGCAGATCCGGTCTCTTTCTTGACTACGGGGCGGGGACGGGAAAGAGGTTGCCCCACCCCGTTTTTATTCCACTTACGACTCAAATGCATACAATCCGGACTTACCAAGTTCACTCGAATATCCATAATCGCAAATCCAGTTCAAGCCTAGAGGTGTAAAGTGGGGCTTGCCCTAAAGGCGGGCCGCTACGGGCCATGCCGTCCTCCCCGATGGAAATTTTGGGGTCAGCCTAGCACAGCCCATGGCCCAAGTCCAAGCGGGCCCGTGCCGGCACACGGGCCCGGGTCAGGCCGAGCTGGGCCACAGGGCGGGCCTTGGGCCTAACCGAGATAGACTCACTGAATGGATAATTGTCAAATCAAATGTCATATCAAGGATTCAGGAATCAGGACAAAAAATGAATAATAAATTAATAACAAATTTATGATTACCCAATAACCTAAAGAATAAATAAATAAAAGTATAAAACAATTCAAATAGGATTTTAAAAATTTTATTTCATTTAAATTTGAATGAATAATGATACAAATTACAAAGCATACAATTATACAAATATTGAAATTATGAAATATACAAATGTACAATGGTTGGATACTTCATAAATTTCATACTTGGATAGCTGGATGAATGAAATATGAAAATGGAATAAATTAATAAAATATAAAAAATACAATATAGAATTATAGACTATATAGACTATATAGTTACAAATTGAAAATACAAAATTACATTAATAGCAAATAAATTAAATAAAATTAAAACAAATTTTATAATAATTTGACAAAATAAAATAAAATGTGGGTTATTTGTTAAAATTTACAATTTAAACAAAATTTACATATACATTATGATGAAAGCATTCACACACACTTTCATCATCTCCTTCAGGTGAAAAAACAAATATCCAGTGTATGTAGTATTGTAGTTTTAGTAGTCTGTAGTATCATGCCCTCCTTTGTCCTGTAATTGAAAAGTTGTAATCTATATTCTGCATCATGATTCATAACTGCATCTAGCCAACCCTAGTAGGTTGGTACAATGGTAGTGTTGTAGTGTGGTACCTATAGGTCCTGCACTAAAACAACTAAACAAGACTCCAATGGAACTATAACCTATAGACACCGGAGGGGTTAGTATATCATGGATCACGTGCCATGGCGAGATTGGCAGCGATAAATGTTCTCCGAGACTCCGACTTCTCCCAATATTTTTAAAATTTATTTTCCATTATTTAAAAAATTCATTTAAACTGTGGGTTATTTCTTCTTCCTTCTCATACCTCCCTTGCTACAATAGCTAAAGTCTTTTCTATATTTTTGGCAAATTGCTATTTTTCCCTTTCCCTCAACATCCTCTATTTAAAATATTCTCCAAATCAGGCTACTAAACTTGGGGTTTTGGGAAGAGCTGGCCATTTTTTTTCAAATTAAAAAAAATAATAATTTAATTGGACTTACCCCGGAATCCCTGATTGCCAGTTTAGAATCCCAAACTGCTAACTTGGAGAATCAGACAATCAGACAATCAACCAATCAGACAGACTATGAGACTATCGGAGTTCACTCAGATGCTAGAGAATGTATGAGAGACTAAAAGAGACTAAGAGTCTGAGAGACTAAAAGAGATTGAGAGACTAAGAGAGGAAAGGCTGAAGAGATTAAGAGAATAACTTAATAGGAGACTATCAGAACGGTGGAGGATAGGGCTATTTATAAGAATTGAACATAATTCAATTGCCCAAAATACCTAAAAACTATCTGTTATTTAGTTGTTGGGAGGGGTATTTTGGTTATTGTAAAGTTACTTATAACTTTACCCAAAATGCCCCCTAAACTAGTTGTTATATAAATGCTTGGGGGGCATTTATATCATTTTTTCAGCTCTCTATAAGCAAAACACACAAATACCCCCCTAATATGGCTGTTTATAGTTGTTGGGGGGTATTTCTATAAAATACCCTCCGAAAAACTCTTTGGGGGGGGCAACCGCCCAAGTCCCAAGTCCCAACTCTCAACGACTATATTCCTGGGCGGGCCGAGCGTGGCCGTTATAGGCCTGGCCGTGCCGGCCCGTGGGTGCTTCGTGCCGTTCATGCCGTGCCGTGCAGGCCCAAGGGCCTCGAACCCCCGGCCCAGCACGCACGGCCCTTTTACCCTTCGTGCCGGGCCGGGCCGGCCCGATTAAAACCTCTATTCAAGCCCCAAGCTGCGCTGTAACCACTGCAGCAGCAGCGGGAATAAAACGCTAGAGGAGAAAAAACTCGAAAAGCGATCCGAGTCCATCAAGGCTACTAACCAGGCAGGTCGAGCAGTCGAAAATGGCGAGAGGGAGAGATCCAGATCCCCCATGTTGCCAGAAGTACGGAGTGCCTCTCTATGGAGCTGCTTGGGTTCCAGTGAAGGAGGCCCTCAAGCAGAATCCGAAAGAAGAACCGGAACAGGATAGCGACAAGGTCACCACCGATGAAGGATCATCGCCTCCTCCGTCAGTTGATACCACCTCTAAGGGTTATTTGGTCTGTGCTGGTGGCGGTGGTGAAGGCCACAGCGGGATCCCTAATGCTCTCTTGCTCCTAGATTTCGATTTCGCTTCGAATTCCCTCTCCCAAATCCCGGTATTTTTTATTTCTGTATTGTATTCCAATATTTACTTGTCTTTCTTGATGAGAGAATTCAGAAAATTTTCTCCGCATCTATGGAAAGTTCTTCTATTCTAGTCTGTGACTCGTACCCTGTCCAATATAGTCTGAAACTGGTGTTTTATATTGGACTGTTCTTGTACTCTTGGTTAAATGTTTGATACATGGCACTCTGAGTTTGTTTCTACTTTTATCTTCTGTACTGATTCCCAGATTTATGCTGCTCTCTACAAGTAAATTAGTTTTGGAAAGCAGCCAGCTTAAACTGATCTCTATAATGTCGGGATCTTAGCTTTCCAAAGCTTGTGTATTTTTATGTAATACTTTGGTGTTGGAAATTCTACCTCTTTTCTTGAAATGGAGCATTCTGCCTTCCGCTTGATTGTATGCCTGTAGGGGCATCCCTTAAGTGTAACCTTTGCATATTTCTTACTATTAACATATCTCTATCATTAACCATTTGGCACTGTATCGTAGAATTTAAAATTTTCACTCGACTTCCTTTTCTCATAATTCCTCATCAAGAGAATTTTCCACCTGGTTGAGTTTTAGAATTTTAACCAACTAAATTATGGATACCGGTCCTTTTTGAGCTTGTGAGCAAACGCATGCACCATTGACATTAGGGTTGTAATTGTGTCAACCATTATTGTATATCTATTTATTTTATTATGTTAATTTCTCCTATCAGTTACGTTGATATTTGTGCTGTAGTAGTTTTCAGTTATCCTATCCACATTTGTTCCCATCTAATACTTTACTGTGATTAATGTGGTCATCTTTTTGAGACATTACTGGCTACACATTCTCTGAAAGTGTGCTACTTGTATTCTCAGGTGACTAAGCTCAATACTGGTGATGATTTACCTTATAGAATGGCTGTCCACCCAGGTGGGGAAGGTGTTATCTGTTCATTACCCAAAAGTTGTAGGTACATTTTCTCATTTTATCACCTATTGGTGCTACTTATAAGTTCCTTTGAAAATCTTATCCTTTCTATTTTTTTTTTTAAAAGTTGCTTATAGCATGATATATGAAAACTTGCACCTGTATAAAAGGTGGGATTTGATCCCAAGTCTCTACTACAACAAGTGAGTGACCTTACCAGCAAATTTTCTGGCACCTTCTTTAAAATGCTGTATTTGTTAGAAGTTAAATTAAATTTGTTAAGAGGAATATATGTGTATTAAGAAATGATAGTTAGCTGAAGACATTAAACATAGAAGCATGGTATTAGTTTGCAAATCTAACTTCGTGCCTGATAAAGTTCAGACCTGTGATATTCTTAGGTTTGAAATAATGAATAGAAATAAATACTAGAGAAAGAGAAGAGAAGAGAAGAGGAGAAGAAGAGAAAACAAAGTCTGGTTCGAACAAGAGAGATCTCTCTCTAGTCGTCCAGTTCTATTTATAGCTTTCTAAAACATTGCACAAAGTCTATTGAGCCCTCAATTAAGTGTGGGACACATCACTTAACTTATGATCTACTTGTAACTACATCAGCATATAAAACAATGTAAATTGACTATACTACCTCTCAACAGCCGACTCTAACACTCCCCCTCAAGTTGGTGAGTATATGTCATATAGTCCCAGCTTGTTACATATATAATCCACTTTTCCCCAACTCAACCCTTTAGTAAATAAGTCTGCCCATTGATTTCCTGTATTCACATATGTTGTGCTTATCACTTTACTAAGCACCTTCTCTCTTACAAAGTGACAGTCAACTTTTATATGCTTTTTTTTGATGAATAACTTTTATATGCTTCATTCTTTCATGAAACACAGGATTGGAAGAAATATGAACTGCAACTTGGTTATCACAGTACAACTTCATAGGTGTGTTAATCGAGTACCATGCAATCCTTCTATTAGATATGGAACCAACCTAGTCAGCACCAGTGTATCCTTCTATTTCAAGGCTCCCTCCACTCTTATATAACAAGCCACAACCTAGAGCTCCCTTCAAGTATCATACAATCCTTGGCACCACATCGCAATGTGGGATCTGAGGATTCTGCATAAACTGACTCACTACACTAACTATAAATGAAGTGTCAGGCCGAGTGATTGTTAGGTAGTTCAACTTACCTACCAACCTCCTATACCTTCTAGGATCTTCAAACTCCTCACCCACATCACTAATCAACTTGACATTCGGTTCCATGGGTGTTACAACTGGTCTGACACCTAACAACCCTATCTCCTCTAGCAGATCAAGAACATAATTCCTTTGGCACAGATTAATACCATGTTTTGATCTTTCTACCTCTATCCCTAAGAAGTATCTTAATTTTCCAAGGTCCTTTGTTTGGAAGTGATCATGCAAGATGGCCTTTAACCTATCAATCCCCAACCTGCCGCTGCCAGTGACAACAATATTATCTACGCATACCACCAATAAAAATCTTTCTAGCACTGGGCTCATAGCTGAATATGGAATGGCCAACCTAACACTATTTCATGCCAAATTTCTTCACCACCTCACTGAATCTGTCAAACCATGCACTAGGACATTGTTTAAGCCCATAAATAGTCTTCTTAAGCCTACACACTTTACCATCCTCCCCTTGAGCAACAAACCCTGGTGGGTGCTCCATATATACTTCCTCAAGGAGGTCACCATGTAAAAATGTATTTTTTATTTCAAGCTGAAACAAAGGCTAATCATACATAGCAGCAAGGGAGATCAAAACACGAACGGAGCCAATCTTGGCAACGGGGGAAAGGGTGTTTGTATAATCTACACTATACATCTATGAATAATCTTTAGCAACCAACTAGGCTTTCAACCACTCAACACTCCCATTAGGTAAAAACTTAATATTGTACACTCACTTACAACGAATAACATGTTTACTAGGCAGAAGAGTGGTAAGTTCCCACGTATGATGAGTTAGGGCTGAGAGTTCTTTATCCATTGCTTGGCGCCACCCTAGAGAAGTGCTTCCTGGATATCCGTAGGAACAGAAGCAGAGGATAACAGGGAAACAAACTGGCGATGGGAAGCACAAAGGTCAGATACACAGACAATTAGAAATGGGATGAAGAGTGCAACTGTGTTTACCTTTCCGCAAAGCGATAGGGAGATTAAGGTCAGAAATAGGGGTTAAGGCTAGCGGATCTGTCGACAGTGACGAAGCTAGAGGAGTTGGTACTTGGCGAAGCGTATACACTTGCCGTATTGGTGGTCATTCAACAGGAAGTGGCATTGGAGGCGAAGATTTGGTCACAACTAGAACAAGAGGAATGGGGTCTTCCACGGGAACCGGAAGTGGAGATGGAGGAAGAATAGAGACATCTAACCCAGAAAAAAAGGAATGGACTCAAAGAATGTAACATCAGAATACACAAAAGAACGTCGGGAACTGAGGTTGTAACACTTATACCCTTTTTGAATCCTGGAATAGCCAAGAAAGATGCACTTAGTGGATCGAGCATCTAATTTGTCCATCCTAGGCCCAAGATTATGGACAAAACACACACCCCCCCAAAACCCTAGGGGTAAGAGAGACAGGAGACAAAGTAGCAAACAAAACAAAAAATGGAGAATGACCTTCAAGGATAGACATGGGATGCGGTTAATAAGGAAACATGATGTAAGCGCATCATCACTCCAAAAGTGTTTGGGAGCATTCATATGGTGCAAAAGGGACTGAGTAGTTTCCAAAAGGTGGCGGTTCTTTCTTTCAGACACCCCATTTTGTTGAGGGTGTAAGGACATGAGGTTTAATGGATAATGCCATGTTATTCCAAATATTCCTGAAACGGTGTATAAAAGTATTCTCGACCATTATTAGAACGGAGAATCTTAATGTGTATTAAATTGATTGCGAATCTCGGCATAAAATTTTTGAAAAATGGTAAACAATTCACTCATTTCTTTCATAAGGTAAAGCCATGCCATCATTGAATAATCATCAACAAAAATTACAAAGTACTTGTAACCATTATATGACACTACTCTATTTGGGCCCCAGATGTCCGAATGGACTAAAGAAAAAGGACTCGACACATGACTATCAACCCTAGGACTAAAGGGAACATGATGATGTTTCCCGAACTGACATGACTCATAATCCAAATTAGAAAGCCAACTCAACGACAAAAAAAGTAACTTAAGTGCTTTGAAGGACGGATGACCAAATCTACAATGCCACTGAAGAGGAGAAAGAGATGTCCAAAGGGCTGTTGTCAGTTGAAAATTACACCTATAGTAATTCAGATAATGCAAGAAAAGAAGAAAAGAGAGGAAGATGAAGAATTCGAACATCTCTCTCTAGCCCCCTTTCATCACTTTTATTAATAATTCTAAGTCTGAGTACAATTACTTGGATGCCCTTAATGGGGCGATCAACACTAAAGAGATAATTAAAGAAAATAAAAGAAGGCCCATAACTAAGAAACATAACTTTTAAGCACTACTTAAAAGAAATAAAGAACACTAGGGTCCATTCGGCCCATTCTCACTACATTGTCGAACCACCTCCATTAAGATAACACAGTCCACTAGCTTCATGTCCTCCACCAATCTTCATCCCCGTCTTGAGATCTTGAAAAACACAAGATGAAGGGTAAAAAGTGATAGAACAATTAAAAGGCTTGGTCAATTTACTAATAAACATAAGGTTAAAGGGAAGCTTGGAAACATACAAAACTAAGGATAGGGATAATGAATCTATGTCAACATTACCAACACCACATATGGAAGATGTGGAACCATTAGCAAGAGTAACAGAGTGTGATGTGGAGGATTGAGAAAGGGAGGAAAACACATCTAGAGTCCTAGTCATATGGTCGGAAGCTCCAGAATTGATAATCCAATGGGAAGGTTTAGATGCTAGACAAGCCATACCTGAATGTGCAAGGGTGCCGTGTTCTACTGAGATGTAGCCTGAATAAATCGCTCTCATACTCATCAAATGGGACACTCATCATCTCCTTTCCGGAGGCATCTGTAGATGTAGGGGGTATCTGATCAGTTTGTTGGGTTTTCTATCTTAAACTACCACTAGTAGTCACTACATGATTTGCCCATGTTGAAGGTGGGCCATGTAGATCATAACAATAGTTGATAGTATGTCCCTCCATACCACAATGTGTACACCTCCTCGGACCATTAATACGTCATCTACCACGGGCTCCCCCTGAATCTCGATCTCCAACACAACCACCACCACGACTGTATATGGGTTCACCACCACCACCACGACCATGTTGGTATAGTGGAGTTCTCCGTAGGTCCAACTGAGATCCTCTGGAGATGGGAAAACACCTCAAGAGAGGGAAGAGCAGACCCACCTAGTATCTGTCCTCTCACCGGTTCATATTCAGACTTTGACCCTACTAAGAATCTAGTGACATCCAACTACTCTCTCTATTGTTGTTGAATCTTGATATCAGATTTTAGGGGGTAATGCACATTCAACTCATTCCGAAGATTTCTCATACTAGCATAATATTCCTCAAGACTTTGATTACCTTGTTGCAAATTAAAATACTCTTGGTACAATTGATAAACCCTAGTTGTGTTGTCTTGTTCAGAATAAAGCTTCTTTGCATGATCCCAAACATCCTTGGCTGTATCTAAGAACATAAAGTTCAAACTGATCTTGGGTTTCATATTATTCCATAACATGTCATAATCTGTGCATCCTCTTGCTCCCAGTCATTGTACCCCTGAGAGTCATTTGAGGTTTTTTTTTAATTTTTTGGAAAAGGTAAGGTAATTTATTCATCAAAGCAACATTACAACAAAGCCCAGGCCATAAAGGCTGAGGGTTTATCTTCCTTCACATGCTTCACTTTCTTCTTAGCTTTCAGAAAAACTTCAATAGATTTAGCCCAAGGCACATAATTCTCACCATTTAGTTTTGATAGATGTCATCTGCACATTCAGATAATCAGAGGGAATCATTACACTAGACTTGCCTTCACTGCTGTCTCCCATGGCTGCCAAAAAAAACTATCACTAGTCTGTCACTCCACTTCACTAAAAGAGTCACAACGCTACACCCCAACAGCTTATTATTGTTAAGAGTACCTATTGCCACAAGTTTCAGCAACAACACTCACTTTTGTTCACCACTTTCAGCAACCACACCACTGCTGTCTTCCACTTTCAGCACCATAAACCACCAAAATATACCTCACATACATATTTGAACCCCCCACAAATCAGACTTGTGCTGTCATTCAACTACACCACTGAAACCAGCCCTCTTCGAATCGAATAGAGGGTTTTCTACCAACCACACAAAATAGCCACAGCACCATAAACCACCAAAATATACCTCAGATACATATTTGAACCCCCCACAAATCAGACTTGTGCTGTCATTCAACTACACCACTGAAACCAGCCCTCTTTGAATCGAATAGAGGGTTTTCTACCAACCACACAAAATAGCCACAACACCACCCATTGGAGGCATGGAAACCTCATGAAACGATCACTCCTTTTTAGCCTCTGTGAATCTCCTATCGGTTAGTGAGGAACCTGCCAAAACCTAGGAGGATAGGCGCTGAGAATGAGAAAACTGGGTTGGTCTGAACTGGATTATATTGTCTCTGATGTCATGATAAAGTTCAGACCTGTGATATTCTTAGGTTTGAAATAATGAATGGAAATAAATACTGGAGAAAGATTAGGATAAAGAGAAGAGAAGAGGAGATGAAGAGAAAACAAAGTCTGGTTCAAACAAGAGAGATCTCTCTCTAGTCGGCCAGTTCTATTTATAGCTTTCTAAAACATTGCACAAAGTCTATTGTGCCCTAACTTAAGTGTGGAACACATCACTTAACTTATGATCTACTTGTAACTACATCAGCATATAAAACAATGTAAATTGATTAAACTACCCCTCAACAGCCGACTGTAGCAATGCCCATAAGCATGTTCAAGCATCTGTGTGTTATAGTATGCCACTTCTTGGATTAAATACCTTTAAACATCTATTCTTTAACATCTGAAGCTGTCCAATACTTTGCTTTCATTTGGGCATCATTGTAAGTTTTTAATAACCATATTTGATAGTTAACATAGCATTGAAATTGCTGGAAACTGAGAATTTTTGTTATAGTGTACTTCTTTTGTCTGCTGCCAATCTGGATGGCTCATTTTCAGAATTCCAGTTGATGATTATGTGTACTGCTTGTGTTAGAATGCCACCTGGTTTAATAGGGCATTACAATTTTGGTGCATCAACAATTTTGTTAGTATACAATCTAGTTTTTAGGACTAACCTTAAAATATTGTTACTATTTCTACATTATGTGATTTTCAATTTTGATTGTTTCTATATGCATCTCCCCTTTAACTTTGTACTTTGTTCCCTTTTGAAAGTTCAATGAAATATACTTTATCTAATTTAAGGCAAAAATGTTATGTATCTGAGTTTTTCTTGTCCTTCAGAAGTTCTATATTTTTATCTTTTTCTTGATTTCATCTTGTTCAAAAGAAAATATATTAGATCTAAACTTACTTACCAGTTCCTTGCGCTTCCATGTTTCCTTAGACTTGCTTTTATTCATCATACAAGGGATATATGTTTCTTATGGTGCAATCATATTATGTGAACTTGTATAGGTGGTTTGAGTGGGATGCGCCAGAGTGCACAGAAGGCAGCAGATTGGGTCTAAAATCTTCTGAAAAAGTGATTACTCAGTTGGAAGGTATTGGGCAACAGTTAGCAGTGACATTTAACCGTGAAGGTTCCTTAATTGCCATGGGCGGAGAGGTATAGTTCATTAAATGAAATTCCACTTCATTACTATTCTGCCAGTACAATGAAGATCTATTTGCCCCTTGTTTTGCTAGGGTATCCGCCATCCCATTTGCATCTCGTTTGGCCCAACCAAACTGAGAGTTGAACTTCCTTGCAAGTGTGTCAATTTCTCGGAAGACAAATCTGAGCTTCCAAGGTACTGATGTGATGTTTTTAGCCCAAGAGATGACCAATAGTGAGTCTCCTTCTATTTCTAAGTCTGTTGTTCCTATCTGCTCAGCCATCTTTAGACCTTGAAGTAGGGCTAGAGATTCAGCCTGTATTGAATCACCAAAACCTATTGGTCCTGAGTAGAGTGCCACCACCACACCCAAATGATTTCTAAACACACCCCCTATGCCTGCCCTTCCTGCGTTGCCGAGAGAACTCCCATCAAAGTTCAGTTTTAGTTTATTCAGTGCTGGTGGCTTCCATTCTATACATACAAGTACTTTGGGTATCTCTGTTTGTGCTACTTATGCCCAATTTCTTAGGATCTCATTCGTGGAGTAGTTTCTGAATAACTCCATGGTTTTTCACCCAATGTGCAGTTCTGATTTTTATGGCTTCAATAACTTCCTCCTTTGTTTTTCTTTTTCCAGAAAAGATTCTTAGGTTTCTTTCCTCCCATATAGTCCATACTGTAGCTGCTCATACTGCCTTCCATAAGCACTTTCCTCTTTTCTTCTGTTAACACAGGAAAGAGGGACTGAATAGACTTACCACATCCTGTGGGGGAAACCATCTGCATCCAAAGAGAGAACAAACAACATTCCAAATACCAGAAGCAAAAGAGCAGGATAAAAGTTAGTGGGTTAGGGTTTCACCACATCCCAAACAAAGGACACACACATGAGGAGAGAGGCAATTGTTTGGCCTCCTTTTCTGTAGCACATCACAAGTGTTTACCTTCCCTAGGAACACTTCCCAACAGAAAGCTTGTACCTTTGGAGGGATCGGTTTAGACCAGATTTCTCTCGCTGGGAAGTTCACTCCCATAGGATCAATGTGAGTGAGCAAAACCAAAGAAAGATGCACAAGAAAATAAACCATCAGAAGCTAGGGACCAGACTCTACAATCAGCTATAGATTAATCCAAGTAGACCTTCTCAAGTATTGAAACCAAAAGCACTAGAGACTCACACTCATTTTCCCTCAACCCTCTTCTGAAACCAAAATCCCAAGAGATCCCTGAATCAAAGAGCACACCAAGCCTAGCAACAGGTTTGTTTTTATGGTTTGATAAGGAATAGAGGTCTGGGAATTTGATCATAAGAGGCACTTCCCCAACCCAAAGGTCTTCCTAGAATAAAACTTTATTACCACAACCGACATCAAACCTGATAAATTGAAGAAAGGTTGGATATACCTCAAAGATTGCCTTCCAGGGAGAAGATGGAGCTTCATTGGGGGCTAGTTTTGCATCCCAGCCATTGTCTGCTTCACCATGTAAGCTTTTAATGACCCTGTGTCATAATCTTTCTTCTTCACAAGGGAATCTCCACAGCCATTTCCCTAGAAGGGCCTTGTTTTTCTTTAATAGGTTTCCTATACTTAATCCACCCTGCTCTTTAGGGTAACAGACTTGCTCCCACTTCACTAAATGATCTTTTTTTTCTTCACTTGGTTCCCACAAAAAGTCCCTCATAATCTTCTCCAACTTCCTAGCTACTTTCACCGGAATCTTAAAGGTGGAAAGGAAATAAGTGGGTAGGTTTGCTAGGGTTGATTTTATCAAGGTGATTCTTCCCCCCAAGGATATATAATTTCTCTTCCACATTGCCAACTTCTTTATGAACCTCTCTACCACCGGTTTCTAGAAACTTTCAGTTTTTGGATTCCCACCCAAGGGCATACCTAAGTATTCCAGAGGCCAATTTTTCACTTCACAACCTAGCAGATTTGCCATGGCTTGGATGTCCCCTCCTTTAATGTTGATTCCAGTTACACAACTTTTTCCCCAATTGACTTTTAGTTTGGAGGCCTGTTGAAATTCATCCACTAGTCTTTTCAGATTCCTTAAACTGGATTCATCACAACTTTCACAGAAAACGATTATCTCATCAGCAAATTGCAAATGATACACCACCACTTCTGATCTACCCATCCTCCAACCTTTAAACTGTTTTTTTTTTTTTTTTGATAAATGATTGAATTTTATTCAATAGAATCAATAAGATATTACAATACAGCCTTCCCAAAGGAGGGACACGAGCTGGTACCTCTCCACAATAGCAACAATGTGCTACCTCAGACTAGTAACAAAAAGTTTACAAAGCTGCCCAGAAAAACTGTTCCTTTGATACCCCTTGTTTAGCTAACCCATCCGCTATGGTGTTAGCTGTTCTGCCCACCCACTGAAAAATAACATTCATGTTCCTTGAGAACCATTTAGCTTTTCTCATAATACCCCTGTAGCACCCACTGAATCTGGATTTTTTAGCCAACCCACAACTTTGGAGTCTCCTTCAATAATCAAAATTTGAACTCCTAACTGATCCGCAACCTGAATGCCTTGTACTGCCGCTAGGAGCTCTGCTCTGATAGAGTCTCCTATACCCATAGAGCCTGAGAACAAAGCTAATATGTTACTATCTTTATCTCTCAGCACCCCACCAATCCTTGAAGGTCCCGGATTTCCTTGACTGCTACCATCAAAATTCAGCTTTGTCCAGTCTTCTGAAGGGGGTACCCATACAGCTGGTACCCTGTTCTTTTTGTTACTGCTACTAGCCACAACCCTCTAGTTCCTCCACATGTCATCAAAAGAATATAATTTGAAGGAATCTGATGATCTCAGCCAGTGGATTGCCCTGGTCAAAATACAATCCTTCACATTCTGCACATTTCTCTCCTTTTCTTGGAATATCCTCACATTTCTTTCTTCCCAAATTGTCCACAGAGCAGCAATTCTAATGCTCCTCCACATTGTTTTACCAGTTTTTGTGGGCCACACAAAAAAGGAAGAATCAAAGATCTGATCTATGGCTGTGGTCATATTCCATCTGCAACCGAACAAAGCAAAGATCCAACCCCAAATAGCAGCAGAAAAAGGACAGGTTAAAAGTAAGTGAGAGCAATCCTCACCTTTAAACTGATTTTCTTGATCAGCCTTGATGATTTGTCTACTCAAAACCTCAGCCACAAAGGTGAATAAGAATGGCGATAAGGGAAAAATATATATTTATTCATCAAAAAAAAAAAAAAGAATGGCGATAAGGGATCACCCTGTCGTAGTCCTCTTTTAGCCTGAAAGAAATCCTTTGCTACCTCGTTCATCAGAATAGAAAAGTGTGCTGAGCTAATACATTCTTTAATCCACATCCGCCATCTTTCACCTAGCCCCATCTTTTCCATTAAATTCAACATGAAGGACCAATCCACCATATCATAAGCTTTTTCTAGGTCCAATTTACAAACCAAACCTTTGCCTCCTTGTTTTCTCTTAGCTGCCACACACTCATTTGCCACTAAGATTTGATCCACAATTTGTTTCCCCTTTACAAAGGCTCTTTGGTTCTGAGAGATAAACATGGGTAGTACAGTCTTTAACCTACCAACCAGGACTTAGCAATGATTTTATACAAGCTACCCACTAGACTTATCGGCCTGTAATCCTTAGGAGTTTTGGCCTCATTTTTTGGCACTAAAGCAATAAAGGTTGCATTTGCTCCAGGCGATAATTTTCCTTCTTGATAGAACTCCGCAAATACGTCAATTAATTCATCTTTCAAAATTTCCCAACAATCTTGATAGAAAGCCATTGAAAATCCATCCAGCCCTGGAGCTTTAGATCTATCCATCGAGAATATTGCTTCATGTATCTCCTCAATAGTGAAGACTCTTTCTAGGAGGCCAACTTCGGATTCTGGCACCCTGTCCCACTGTAAATCTCCCAATTTTGCAATATTTTCATTAGAGGATGCTAGGATTGACTTAAAATGATCCACAAAGCATCTTTCAATCTCCTCTTTTGCAGTTACTACTCTTCCCTCCACCTCTATACTTGAAATTTGGTTTTTCCTTCTTCTCCCGTTTGCTAGGGAGTGGAAAAATCTGGTATTTCCATCCCCCTCCAGAAGCCATTTACATCTACATTTTTGCCTCTAGGAAATCTCTTCTTTTCTTAGGATCTCTTCCAATTGCACTTTTAAATTCCATCTTTCTACTCTATCCTCCACCCCACACTCTTTCCCGGACCTCCTTTTGGTCTACTTCCTCTATTTTCCTGGCTTATTCCTCCTTTATGGCCTCAAGTTTTCCAAATTCCTCTTTGTTCCACTCCTTGACCTTTTCCTTCAATCTTTTTAGTGTCTTGGAGAACCTCACCACTTTATTTCTAGCCCTTACCCCACCTCCTGACCACCATTCTTTTACCTTTTGCAAAAAATGTGGAACTTCTAGTCACATGTTTTCAAATCTAAAAGGTGTGGGGCCTCCAGTAAGATTTTCTTGGTAGAGGCTTAAAGGGAAATGATCAGATGTCACTCTAGGTAGGGCTTTCAGTGTCAATGTTCCCCACAACTCTTCCCAATCAATGGAAAAATGGAATCTGTCCAGTTTTGAGATTAGATGGGAGCAACTGGGCAGCCTCTTCTATTTGGGGTTGTCAAGCATCATGAGGGTCTATTTCATGTTACCTTAACATTTCTGATCACCACATATGCATGAATCTCCAATATTGTGACACTCATGTGAAAATTTGAGGTATAAAGGCTCAAAATGGCAGAGGTATCAATTGTATAACTGGTTTGAATCAACCTAAAATGTGGAAAAGATGTGATAAACTTTGAACAATAAAGAAGTTAATTAAAATTAACAGCTTTAGATTTCTTTTCTTTTCTTACCCTGTTGTTTTTTGGGTAGAGAAATGAAATGTAAAAAAATAGACTGTTAATAAAATTTGCCAGATTTTCATAACCTTGGAGAAGTGCCACACTGGCAGTTTTCTGGGGCATTTGTGATGAAAGGGGAAAATTATATTTGTTAATAAATTTCCTGATTCATCAAAATAAATAAGTTTTTATACTAGGGGGTTAGTGACAAAGTCACATCAATATTTTCTTTTTAGTTATTCTTTTATAATTTGTTTTAAGGGATCATATCTGGGGCAATTCACAGTAAGTGGGTCTGGGAGTCAGGTTCAAGAACAATAACAGAACAGGTTTCTCCACAACAAGTTTTAAGGCTATGTGCCAGGCATCCAGAATAGACTTGTGGGTAAAATGAACTAGGCTGTAAGAAATGGGCCAAAAATATTGGCCATGTAAACAAAGACAACCCACCATGGTTATGATTATAAGGGCAATAGCAAAGCTATATGGGCATAGGCCTAAGGTCATGCCGGCGAGGCCAACTAGTTCTATATCAGCTTCCTGTGGTTGATGGAAACTTGTCCTTGAGTTTTGATGTGTTATAGAATCTTAAGTGGGGCACAAAAATGAAGCAATCCCTTTTTTTACTTGCTCCTAGTTAGCTAATCCTAGTAAAATTTCCCTATAATAAATAAGAGGCCCTCTAAAAAAAAAGAAGTGGGTGTGCAATCTCTTTTCTCCATCTTATTCCTTTGCAGTTTTCAAGACATTTCTAATGATCAAGGCTGCATTTGGTATTCCTTATTTTAAGGATTTACCTCCTTTTTGCTGTTAAAATGCCCTTATGAACACTATGTTTTTAACTACAAAAAGGAGATAAGTCCTTAAAATATGGAATGCCAAATGCAGCCTTAAAATGTAAGTGTTAGTGGAAATGTTGTTCATCCAAACATAAGGAAACATCTCAGAGATGTTGGAAATATCGTCTAGAAATATAGCAAAAATTATAGGCATGAAAACATTGTGGAATATGTAGAAATATGCAATGACATTGATTGTAAGATATCAAAGAGGTAACAAAAAGGTTCCTGTTTGAGGCTTTGTTCTGACAACGAGACGGAGGAAGGAGATCAAACTTGAAGCGAAAAGGTTTCTGCTTTAGGAGACAAGAATCAGAGGAAAAGCTGCTTTTAAGGTGAGAGAAGAAAGAACTGTGATGTTCGTAAGAGATGTTATCAGCTGTTTCATGCAGTGAGAACCCAAGGATGGAAGAGTACATTGCATATAGCAGGGGCTATTTAGCGGAACAAAAACACAAATGGAAGGGTTGGTTCCTAACTCTTACAGAGCAGTTCGGATATGGCAAAAGGCAGATGATCTGTTTACCAGAAGGCCAAAACAGAGATGGATGGACTGCAGCTCTAGATAAATGCCTTCAAAGGCTGCCTTCTTTTCATTATGGACTGTGGTTCTAGATAAATGCCATACCAGATAACCTGTTGTGCAGGAGAGGTGTATCCTTGCAAGATGTAGGTGTGTATTATGTGGACATAACAAGGGGATAGTCAACAATCAAATGATACACTGCAAGATGGTCTGATGGTGGGAGATATATACTCTCACTTCTGCAGGATGTTTAATCTTAGCTGGTGCTTCCCAGGCAGTTTGGAGAACCATCTGAAATCTTGGAAAATCAGGGGCCTTAACAAGAGAGGGAGGCTGCTTTGGAATACTATTCCTGTGGTCATAGCATGGTGTACTTGGAAAGAAAGAAACCAGATATTATGTGAGTCAAAATATGAGTCAGTAGAAGAGGTCATCAGGAAAGTGATGGGAACTGTTTATTCACAGGTGGCTACTGTTGAGTCGTTTTGTAATTATCTCTCATAACCGGTTTTTTTTTTAGCCTGCTTATTGGTTTTTGTAATATGGGCAGGCAAGTATAGCTAGATGAATATTTGTCTAGTGACTCACTGTACAAGGCTATACTTGTTTACAGACTTACAGTTTGAAGTGAATGAATGAAGACAACACCTTAACTTTTTTTCAAAAAAAAAGCAGGAAGAAAAATGTATGTAGAGGTTCAAGAATCCAATGGGTAATGCCTACTGGCGCTGTATCAAGACTCTTGGTTCAGAATATCCAGAAAGGGTAGGATCATCCTATTAAAACTTTCTGAAACTCTTAAAAGCTAAAAACGACTTGCTTTGGACACTAAACCATGGACTAGAAAGTGGAACACAACTAACTCCAACCATGGATATCCTGTGATAGGTTAGTGCCTTTTCCAAGATCTGGTTTGCTTGTTCAAATCAGGCCTAGGTTGTGCAATTTTGTCTACTAGTATCAAATGGAATTAGAATAGAGTTTTTCCTTCTGGTTCTTATTGATATAGGAAAAGATGGATGAAAGTAAGTAGCAGAATTTCTTGTGTGTACCCCAGGTCTTGGTCTGAAGTTTTGAGTTAGAAAGCAACATTTATTGTGCTGTTTTAACTTAATAACTTCTGCACAACTGCTGTTTTTCATCCATTTCTCGCAATCTACTACATTTTCTTCTGGTAAATGACAAGATCCACCATAGGAGGATCCAGCCCCATCTACATTACCCCATGTTGCATCCCAAGACTCACCAAGGCCAAGGCCTGAATACAAGTTTAGGTCGATGCATTCTTCAATGATGTTCTTATTTCCATTTTTTTGGGTAACATCATTATAACTTATCTATTAGAAAATGCAATTTTCTTTGACAAATTGGTATATCATATAATGTTTTATTCAGTGCAGGATGGCTATTTAAGAGTCTTCAAATGGCCTAGTATGGAAGCGATTCTTGACAAAGCTGATGCTTATGCAGCTGTGAAGGATTTGGGTTTCAGGTTCATTAAATGTAGTGTTTTAAATAGGACATCAGCTCACTTGATTGGAGTTACACAAGTGAAAATTTTAGTTTTTTCCCCTTTAATTTATTTGGTGCATTGATTTTGTCAAGAATTGCATTTGCTACACCAGATGTCCTGATTATCATTCAGTTTATGCTTTGCAGTTTGGATGAGAAGTTCCTTGTCTCCCTTGGAAATGGTGGCCCTTGCAGGGTTTGGGATGTAAAATCAGCTACAGCTTTAGCTACTTTACCAAAGGAAAATGTAAATACTCAGTCTTGTAGACAAGGCAAATTTTCAGTCTTATTAAATATTTACCATGTGCATAATATGCATACATGTTGGTCAGGGACTTGTTCCATTACATATGATCTGGGAAAATCTAGGTCAATTGAGTTAGTGGGGTTTGATATTTGTTAATGTGATCTGAAAATTTTTTTTATCTTCCATTTAATTATTCTCCCATTACTTTTTTCTAGTTGTGCAAAAGGTGGTGGGTATTCCTGCTATCTAATTCGGTCACTGCATGACTGAGTAAATTGTTAATGTATATCTCCTGGGTGGAATCAATAAACAATGTGAGCCATCTATGAAGCAAAAAAGAAAAAATTTCATGTTTTTGAGAACATAAAGGCTTCTTGCTGTTATGTATTCATTTTTATTTTTTCTTATTGCATATTTCGACTCTACCAACTCATCTATCATGCAGGATGAGGTTTTTGGCTTCTGCAGGTTTTCACAAACCACTGATAATAATCAGATTCTTTATATCACTGCAATGCGAGGTAGATTTTTGGTATTTGATGCCATTCTTCTAGTCTCCCTTAATTATTTTTTGAGCTAACCATTATGTGCATTGGTTTACACAGGTCAAGGAGGAAGTGTCGTCTCTTGGAACACAGATTCCTGGAAAAGAATCAGTTCTAAACAAATAGTCCGCGACCCTATCTCTGCATTCAATGTTTCAGCTGATGGAAAATTCCTTGCAATGTAATCTTTTATTCATTGCTAATTAGAACTATGGTTAGCCATCCAGAAAGAAAATTGTTTTTTCCGATAGTTCTAGTTCATCCCCATTGAACTGTAGCTTGTGTCTTGATGAATGACATGAAGTATGGTATACCCCACCTTTCCTTATAGGGATTTTCAAATTCTAGTTATTGCTTGTGCACATTCAAAGTCTACAACTTTACACATGTATTTGTTTTTTCTCATCTAACTTTTCTGAAATAGCATTCTGCATACATATGGCTTGCTTCACTTGGTGACGTTGTGTCCTTATATGTCAAAATTCAATTCTTTAACAGTACCCCATGGTTAATTTGACTTTCTAAATAGCTTCTACTTACTGTGGGTTGAATAGATTAAACAAATTGACATGAAAACTTTAGTTTCTTACAGTTTATCTTTAGTTGTATCATTGATGTCCTTTATCTTGTTATTGGTCAAACTGCAGTGGAACAATTCAAGGAGACACTTTTATAATAAACTCTGCCAATATGCGGATTCACACAGTAGTTAGAAAAGCACATCTTGGTCTCGTTACTGCATTGATGTTCTCCCAAGATTCCAGGTACCATCTTCCTCTATTCCTAGTAAATTCTATTTAGGATTTACCATTGCATCTGAAGCACATAATCTTTGAATACAGGGCTTTGGTCTCTGCATCCATGGATGCAAGTGCAAGGGTGACACTAATTGAGGACAAGAAATATGAAGGTATGCAACTCCTTGTATTTGTTGTCAATGCATCACCTATGGTTTTAGTTTTCAAGCATTTGCTTACGAGTATTTCTACTGGGACAATGATATACTATGTACATTTAGAATTTAGCCATGTATGGGTCTCTGATGTATCTGTTTACAAATAGAACACGATGTGTGGGTACTAGTGGTTTATATTTTCGGTAAATTGCTAAGCCCTCTGCCTTTTCTGACAATTGCTTTAACCTCCCTGTATTTTACACGTGGTAAAAACCTCCCTTCACTTTTCAGGGGTCAATTGCATCCATGCCTCTTCCATTAGTTTGGACAATCGGAGAATGCAAAATTCCAATGATGTCCTCCACCTCCAGTGGTCAATAGCATCCATGCCTCATCCGTATTTTATCTCTCGATCTCCCTTTCTCTTCTCTTTTTTAATAATTTTTTTTCTTTATTCTTCAAAAAAAAAAATCCTGTCCCTTACCATTGCATACTGGAAACCTCACTAAACTAGAAAATCTGTGGTTCTTGGCTGTAACCTTGTCAGATAGATTCCGGAGATTTTATCTTTGAACCCAATGCTTGTACAACTGAAGCTCTTCAACAACAGTTCAACCAAAAAAGAGGAAGAAAGAAAGAAAGATTACCTGATCACTTCAAAATACGAAGGGGACAATCTTTCATGGCTGAAAAGTTAGTGAGATGCTTCAGACCTTGAAAATAGAGGGAGATTTTCTTTTCTAGTTTTGAGAAAAAGGGCTTGTAGATTGGATCGAACCAAGGGAGATTGTGATCCTCTTTGCCCAATTTAAACTCATCAGCACCTTTATTGTCTTCAAACATGGTCAGAGCTACCATCATCATGGCTCCCAGCCTGTCATCCTTGCTGAGCCCCTGCTTCAAATTTCCAATGATATTTCTGAAACCATCCAAATTGTGGTCCTCTTTATCCCCTTTGAACTGATCAGCAACTCCTTGGTCAAACATATGGTTGGAGCTACCATCATCATGGCTGCCACTTTGTTAAGCCCCCGCTTGAAATTTCCAGCAATACTATCTGGGCTTAGTTTGGTAAAGACAGCAGTTTCTGAGTTGTTCTTCAATGCAGCATTATAAGTGTCAAACTTACAAGCCTTACCACCCAATTCATTTTCCTCCCCCATTAATTCATCATAAAGCGCAAGGTGCCAACCAGTGGGTTGGCAAGGTCTCCTGCTGGTCATAGCAGAGACTTGGGATCGAATCCCGCCTGCACCTGGGTTGGGGATGGATTACCCCCCGGTTGTGTAACCCTTCAGAAGAAATTAAAAAAAAAAAATAATCATAAAGCATTGTTGCCTCCAGGGTGATGGTTTGAGCAGTCATGAGGGCCATCATCTGAGCCATGAGATTCCTTATGATTTTGTTAAGTTCTTCCTGTATCACTAAAGGCAATTGACCCCTCTGCAGAAACATAGTGTTTTGAACTTGAGTTGTCAATGGAATTTGGCTGAGATTGGAGTAATAAGATAATGAGCAATTGACTTAAAGCCAAATCTTGAGACTTTCCTATAGACTTCCAGTGGGAATCCATCCTGCTTGGCACAGGTTGCAAATTCAATTGGGATTCTGATTTGTTTTTTTTTTTGTAGGTTACATTCTCCCTTTGTCTCATGTATAAGCAATCCCCACAAAGCTGTCCTTGGACAAGGTTGCATTTACTGCAATGGGTACGACAACCAAGAGTTTTCTGCCTGCACTGGTGGCAGGTCTTCTCCAAAAGATCATATATTCGTATCCCGTCCTTGCCATATCCATTGACAAATAGAGTCCAACTTGTGTACCACGTACCCAACAGTTTATCATCTCCCGGCCTCCTATACGAGGCCCTTCATCTTTCTCCAATTTAACATGAAATACAAGGGAGGTCAAAGTAATTGTCAGAAAATACGGGAGGTTTAAGCAGTTTAACCCTTATATTTTTTTGCAATAACCATCACTGCTTGTGCAAATACTCTTTTGGTTGTGCATTCCCGAGTGACTACGAGAATAACCTACAAATCATAGGAAATATTATTATAATGTTATTGCTTTTAACTGATCAAAAAATCTTATCAACATTTTTTTATGCTGTTCATGTGCACTTCACCAACTTATTGATTCTAACCCCAAAAAAATAAAATGAACTTGTTTATTTAAATTCAAAGGCAACATAATTCCATTTTTCATGTATTGTTTGTGAAATTCTATTTCTAAGGCCATGATTATACCTTTGCATTGCAGGATCGAGCTCTCTGGCCATTGTTTTCGTTGTTTTACTAGCAATTCTGGTGTATCTTCTGAAGAGTCGAGGAGTAATTCGTTAATTAGAATTGGGTCTCTTTTCCGATGAAAAACAAGAACAGACTTGTTTAGTACTGAACAGGAAATCAAACCATAATCATCAGAAAAAGCTGTCCATGGAGACATTTTGTCAGCAAAGACAATAAATGCAGTTTTTTCAGGCTTCTCTGTCTCATTCATCTAGGTTTTGATCACTCGTTACATGGCTTGCGAAGAGCCTTGAATGCGGATTTCTGTTTTAATTCACCCATGATCTCATCTCAAAGAATAAAATGCTTAATGCAACTTTCCAGGGTATTCAGATGGGGGCTATCACGTAGGCCTCCATTGCACATTCCAAGAAATCTACCATTTTCATTGATCTGTACTGGTAAAACTCAGGAATCTTTATATTATAGGCAATCAGTCGTTGACTTGCCAAATCTAATCAAGGAGTACTCACAAGTCACAAGCCAACTCCCACCCAGAAAAACAGATTGTCCCAATCTCATGATGGGTTTATTTTATATATACGGCAAAGCATGCGAACTGTCATTCTTCGTACCTTCCTTTATATCAGTCATTAACACATCCCTAAAAGAAGCCATGCAGAAAAATCAATACTGCCATATTTAACTTAAGAAAGAACCCAAACAGAAGATAAATACTAGTCTTTTATTAAGATCAGACTATGAACTTTCCAATAGAGTCTCTAAAACAAACCCAACTGAGAATTCTAATAAAATTTGGGTAAGCTTCTCAAGTGTGGACGATTTGTACATTGAACCAAATTACAACACAAACCCCACCAACCACCCTCCCCCCACCCTTCGAATTTTAAACAAACACTACCAAATAACTAACTGACAACATATTAGAAGTCTAAAACGTCCAGCACAACCCAAACGCTCCCCTATCATTGCGCTGCAGCTACTTTCCTCGGCCGTCCAACCGGTCTCTTTGGCGTCGGTGTCGCGCTAGCCGCCTTCGGCGGTCGACCCCTTCGTTTTGCGGGTGACGCTACACCAGCAGCGGGCAAATCACCACTAGAAACAACGGGCACGGCGCCAGCTGCACCACCGACATCGACATTATTCGCCACCACCTTCGGTGGTCGGCCACGGGGACGGCCTTGCTTTACAACAATGGGAGCGACGACCGACCCCGCCCCAACAGGAGGTGCGACCGCGAGGATCTTCCTGGGCCGACCTCTTGGTCTAGGTGGTCCCTGGTATCCAGGAACTGCGACGCGCCTGGGCTTAGGTGGGGCCCTAGGTTTAGGCGGGCCCCTTGGTTTGGGCGCAAGGACAGGCCCATTCGCCCCAGCAACAATGAAGGGCTTGGACTTGGACTTGGGTGGGCGCCCACGTCCCCTCCTGATCAAAAGATGGCCATTAGCCGCAGCAGATAGAGGCTTGGGCTTTGGTGGGCGACCTCGTCCTCTCTTCTGCAGAATAGGGACGCCATCGGGGCCTATAACCACTGGAACGGGCTGCTGGACGATCTGGAGCTTGCTCTTCGGTGGACGGCCGCGACCCTTCTTGGGAGCTGACGGAGCAGCCTTGGGGAGCTTGTAGGAGTGCTTGACCTGGACGACGTGGCCGCTCTTCTTCAACCGCTTCAGATGGGTGCTTAGCAGAGCGGAGTGGGTCGGTGGGAGGTTGGTGTAGGCCGCGTCGATGAACTTCGCTATGGCTTTCTTGCTCGAACCCTTCTTCTCATTCAGACCTCTGATCGCAGACACTATCATCTGAAACACAGACACACCAAACAAAACAAAATTAGGGTTCCGATCAGGAGACCGGTAAGAGGGAGCGGGAGATTGAGATGGGCTCCGATGTTTTTAAGTACCTCTGCGTAAGGAGGGTGGCTGGGGTGGTAGCTGGAGGCTTGCTTGGGAGGGGCGGTGGCTGCATGAGCTATGTGAGGCTCCATAATGACCACAGGAGCAGTAGTCGAGTCGGTGGCAGCCGGAAGTGGCACGCTGGTTTCCACGGTCGCCGGAGGAGCAGGAGGAGGAGGAGAAGGAACTGTTGACGAGTCCACGGGAGGTGGGAGAGAGACCTCAGCCCCGGCGGTAGCCGGAGGAACAGTTGCTGTTGATGAATCCATCAAATCAGAGAGCGAGAGAGAACACAGAGAGCGAAAGTCAGGTGGTTTTTTAAGGGGGGGAAAGTGGGGAAGGAATCTTTACCGCTGATATTGGATGAGAGAGGTGGAGATCCAAGGGCTGCAAACACTTGAAATATCGTTCGCGCGGATCGATGACGTGGAATTTCATGTCTTTTTCTCCCCTTTAGCAATAAAAAATTGCTTTTATTTTTTTCAAAGGGAAAATGATGTTGTTTTAACGTGGATTTTGAGTCTGAGGAGCTCATCATCCTTGAATGACACTACAACTCTCTCACTCTCACTCACCTTCCCCCCTCTCAGATAATTAATTATTTTTTTCCTTTATTTGTTATTATAATAATAAATGAAGTCATAAAAAGGCTTTAACTAAGAATTTTTTTAGTGTTTCAGTTATACTTACCTTGAAAATATCAGCAAGGAATCTGATGCTCTGATTGGTATTTACATCGCTTGGCTCTCATGGCTTTGACTAAGATATGATGGCCACTTGGACGGTGGGGATTAAATTATACGGTAGGTATCATGTTTTGGATTTTAGATGCTTAAATCTGGGGATCTGTACACTGGACCCTGGAGCACTGGATGGACGGATAGGGATAGACGGGGGCTGGTGGGCATGGGTCCCAATATCTTGCCATCTTTCCCGTGATTAGAGTACGAGGCTCACCATCAAGTGGGCCCCACCGTGTAGATCTGCTGGGCCAAAAAGGATTGGCATCCCACATCGGAGCATCACGTTTACAAATTACTTTCCATTTTATCTTTTCTTTGTAATGATTTTATTTTCTCTTTTCTTTCAGAATTCCTTTACATGCTATTTAAAGCAAATAATAGTATCTTGCCAATTTTATTGATTTCCCCCCATTTTATTTGGCGGGAACACACCAAAATTTGAATGAAATTTTCAAATTTTCTGTCAAAAATGTTCACACCAACAATTAGTGATACCACATGCTACGAGCAAGGAAAATATGAAAAATTAAGGGGGTTATTAGTACAGTGCTTCTATTGGAATTTTATAAAAAGGCATTTTTCACCATGATTATCAGATTAATTTGATATAGTTGGATGAAGCTGAACTGATTATTCGAGTTCATATTTCAATTTGGTTCAACTGGATTAATTTATTAAGCTTAAGAGGACAAATTTTCCAAATTTACATATTATTCATGTCACTAATCATGCTCATTAATTTCTATTTAGTAAATCAGTACGGGGAATCCAGCAAAAATGAATCAAAACACATAAATTGTTAACAAAAAAAATAACACAGATATGGTGGTGGAATTTCAAAAATGTTGGGTTAAAAATACAAAATATTTTATTTTAAAATGCTTCTTTTGAAAATTATAATACTTGTATTTTGTTTTTTTTTTTAATTGGTAAAAAATTGTATTTTATTTGATAGCCCAACTTTTGGGCTGCCTACAGCCTGGGACAGTGTACCACAAGGTCCACCTTCCGACTGTGATTCATTCTACGATTCCCTGAATTAACAAATTTCGAGCCCAATCATAGTTGCTAGCAATACGGGTTCAATCATCATCATCCATGAGGATAGAGGAATGTACTCAACCTACCACTTATTAGTGGATTAAAATGCATCAAGAAGACTTGGCAATTGGCATTCGTTACAATCTCGGTTGGTTTTAGACTCCTGATTATATTACTAATCCGAGAGGCCAAATTTCCAAGATACCACTATTTTGATATAGCAATATAATAATCACTGAAATGGATTCAAACTATTGCTGAGAGAGTTCATGGGAAAAGCTTCTATTGTAATTTGCAATAAAGTCAACAATCAGTTTGCAACAATGGTTCTTTTAAAGCTAAAACAAGTGAACGTCAACAAGTCATAAGATAAATAATTAAGGAGACTGACATTCATCGTTGTGAATGAAAGTTCTTCAAATAAAAAACTTAAAGGAGAGTCCACAATAGGTTTCAAAGTCAAGCACAAGCAGTGACTATACAATGTCAAAGGACTAATTTCCACGAGAAGTGATTTTAGGAGTTGACTTGGACCATAACGCCAGGAACTGATTGTGGTTGGTTAATGCTTGTTTACAGGAGTCTGACCAATACAAGGCTAAGCTAGGCTTGGTTTGATGGAAATAAGAGAAAAACAGAAAGTTGAGAGGAATTTCATATATTCTGCTTCCCTCAACTTCTTGTCAAACCAAACACAGCATTAGAGTCAACTTATAATATCATTTCTTCAGTAGGTAAGTACTGTTGATGGGATCTGAAGTTCTGAACACAGGTTTCATGTCTGGGCATATTGATTGAGACTACAAACGGCCTGCTACTGCTTAGCTGCAATGGTAAGAGTGCCTTTTCAAGTAAATGCTCAGGTTTCCCTTGGAGCAACCGGATAACAGAAGCTGATATGATGCAACTAGAATGCCAGTATACACAATAGCAGGCCTTTCCATTTATAAACAACTCATTGACATTTAAGTTAATTTTGATGACAAAAAATGTTAGCACTGTTCCTTCTGTGTAGCTTGATATTTATGTGGTTAGCTAGGAAGAACCACTAGGACTTCCTCTTAACATGTTAGAAGGAATTAATTAGATTGTTGCTATTGGCGCTTCCTCTGGTAAAGTGAATAGCCAACAAGAGCAGACATGAGAAATGTCCATAGGACCTGCAGGAATACAAACCAATGGGAAAGAATTAACAGAAAAATCAAAATCCAACTGATAGAAAGGATGGAGAAAGGAGGCTCATTAGTACCGTGTTGATTGTGTGCCACCTTTCAAGCCTTCTGATCCGCAATTGCAGGTCTTCAATTACAACTTCCATTGGCGAAACCCCCCTTCTTGGTGAGGATTCTGCAATAGAACTGCTGCCCTGTTTGACCACTCAAGTTAAAATTGAAAAGTAGAGAGTAAAAAGGATGAAGAGAGGGGGGAAACCCTGATGCCTCTACATCCCTTCCCTTTTTTTATTCAAAGGATAAAACTGAAGTTAGGTACAGGTCTCAAATGCATCACAAAGCATCTTCAACATGAACTAGGATGATCCTTGCAAGATCGCTTATTCCTCAACTATATTTGCAATCAATTCATATAATTCTAGATATTAAACTAGGAAGCAACAGCCAACAAACCAATCACAAGACCTTAATTTCAGCCCGCCGGTATCAAATTAACCTCTATATTGGATCTTTTTTATAGGCTTACGCATGTAGACATCTCAACAATCCTATTGAACCAACCCAATCAACATCTATGTAACCTTCTATCTCAAGACTCCTTCCATTCTTGTATAACAAACTATGACCCAGAGCTCCTTTCAAATATCACACAATCCTTATATTGCATCCTAGTGTGGAATCCGAGGATTCTGCATAAAAGGACTTACCACACTATCTGCAAATGATATATCTGGCCAAGTAATAGTCAGGTAGATTAACTTACCCACTAACCTTCTATACCTCCCAGGATCTTTAAACTCTTCACCTGCATCAGTATTTAATTTGACATTTGGCTCCATGGATGTTTAAACTGGTTTTGGCACCCAACAGTTTCGTCTCCTCTAACAAGTCAAGAACATACTTTCCTTGGCACAAGTTAATACCATGCTTCGACCTTGCAACTTTTATTCCCAAGAAATACTTTATCTTACCAAGATCTTTTGTTTGGAAATAACCATGCAAAAATTCCTTCAATCTGTCAATTGACTCAATCTCTATACTACCACTACCTGTTGTAACAATATCATCTACATATACCACCAACAAAATCTTCCTAGCTTCAGACTCAGTTGAATACTAAATGGTCACTTTGCACTGCTTCATACCAAAGACTTTTACCACTTCACTAAATCTGCTGAGCCAAGCATGCAAAAATTGTTTTAGCCCGTAGATTGCCTTCTTGAGTTTGCACACTTTACCATCCTCCCCCTAAGCATCAAGCCCTAGTAGATACTCCATATAAACCTCCTCAAGAAGATCACCATGTAAGAAGGCATTCTCAATGTCAAGTTGAAATAAGGCTAGGCATACACTGCTACTAAAGATATCAGAACTCAGACCGATCCAAACGAGCCTCTTCCATTGCTTGATGCCACCCTAGGGAGGTAGTAGGTTCTTGGGCATTTTTAGGGATAAAATCAAAGGATAAAGGGGAAACAAACTAGCGATGGGAAGCATATAGGCAATGTTGTCAAAATCTTACGATTTATGATACAATTCACAATTTGAATCATGAATCCCAAGGGTTTCGATTCGAATCTTATGTTTGAATCTTCTTTTGCAAAAATCTTACGATTTTTGTTTGAATCCTATGATTTGATTCATAAATCTTAGGATTTATATGATTCCTGCGATTCATTGCAATTCAAATAAATTCAATTAAAAATTAGTTTTCTACATTATCATTTTTCTATTCATATTCAGTATTATCAAGGGACACTTGTTTTAAAGCCCTTACTATAAAATGATTTATTTACACTATTTAAGACCATCATTGAGTTTATTTTGCATCATATATAGGTTAAAGAGCCATTTTATGTGAATTTATTTGACTTTCAAGTCAAATTTGATTATATCATCTTGGGATCTTGGGCTTCTATTGTACATGTGGTAAATTCTATTGTTTGAGGTACACATATGGTAGATATAGATTAAAAATAGGATAAAATAACTTTTCTATTATTTAGCCTTTTAATATATCTATACTTAATATTTTGAAAAGTTTGTAAAAATAAAAATAATCTTAGATACAATTCACAATTTGATTCGATTCAAAACATTAAATATAGGTGAGAAGCAGAGACATAATTGGAAATGGGATGAGAAGTACAACTATGTTTACCTTTGTGCAATGCAATGGAGAAATCATGGTCAGAAGGAGGAGAAACAAATATTGGATCCGTCAACGGAAAGGGATTGATGGAGTCGGTGTCTATCTGTGAGTATACACTTGCGTGATTGGTGATCATTCAATAATAACCTGCACTAGAGGAGATAAAGGTTTGGACACAATTAGAACTATAGGAATGGGGTCGTCAATTGGAACTAGAAGAGGAAATGCAGGAGGCAAGGGAGGAACATCAAGACTAATAAAGAAATGAACAAATTCAAAGAAAGTGACATTTGAACAAACAAATGAACATTGGAAATTGGGATTATAGCATTTATACCCTTTCTGGGTTCTAGAATAGCCATTAAGACAAGATACATTTTGTGGAGATAAAGGTTTGGACGCAATTAGAACTACAGGAATGGGGTCGTCAATTGGAACCAGAAGAGGAAATGCAGGAGGTAAAGGAGGAACATCAAGACTAATAAAGAAATGAACAAATTCAAAGAAAGTGACATCTGGACAAACAAATGAATGTTGGAAATTGGGATTATAGCATTTATACCCTTTATGGGTTCTAGAATAGCCGACAAGACAAGATACATTTTGTGGCACGTGCATCCAACTTGTCCATCCCGAGCTCCAGATTATGAACGAAACATACACAACTGAAAACTCTAGGAGTAAGAGGAAAATGAGACAAAGTAGGAAACAAAACTGAGACAGGAGAGTAACCTTCATGGATAGACATGGACATCCAATTAATGAGAAAACAAGATTTAAGTACATCACTCCAAAACCATTTGGGAACATTCATATTGTGTATAATGGACCGACCAATTTCAAGGTAGTTCTTTCATTCAACCACCCCATTTTGTTGTGGTGTGTATGTACAAGAAGTTTGCTGAATTACACCATGTTATTCCAAATATTCTGAAATGGTATGGAAAAATACTCTTTGCCATTATCAGAACAAAGTATTTTAAATGTGAACACAAAATTGAGTATAAATTTTAGCATGAAACTTTTGGAAAATGGAGAATAATTCACTTCTTTCTTTCATAAGATAAAACCATGTCATTCCTGATAATCATCAACAAAAATTACAAAGTACTTGTAACCATTATAAGACAATTTTATTTGAACCCCAAATATTTAAATGAACCAAAGAAAAAGGACTCAAAACTCAACTATTGACTCTAAGACTAAAGGAAATTCTCAATGTTTCTCATACTAACACGACTTACATTCCAAAGAAGAAAGATGACTCAATGACGGAACAAGTAACTTGAGTGCTTTAAGAGATGGATGATCAAGCGGTGGTAAAAGCAATGAGAATCTACTAACACATGAAATTAAATGGGAATTTGGGTACATATAAAACAGAGGATAAAGATAAAGATGTGAGGTTAACATTACTGGCATCACAAATAGGAGTAGAACCATTAACTAAGGTAACAATTTGGGATGTGGAAGATTGAGAGAGGGAAGAAAACACACTTGGGAGTCCTAGTCATATGATCGGAAGCTCCAAAGTCAATAGTCCAATGAGAAGGTTTGGATACCAAACAAGCCATACTTGAGTGGGCAAGGGTAGTTGTGTTTTGCTAAGAGAAAACCTGAAGAAACCTTTCGTATTTATCATGTGGAATACTCGCCATCTCCTTCCCAGATGCACTTGTAGATGTAGGTGTCTGGTCAGCTTGTTGATTCTCATTGATTTCACCACCACCACTTGTCACAACATGATTAGCCCATGTAGAGGGAGGCCCATGCATATCATAATAGAAATTAATAGTATGCCCCTCCATTCCATGATATGTGCATTTCCTAGGACCACTGCTGCATCCTTACCACAACTTCTCCTTGAATCTCAACCTCCACTATGTCCACCAATATGGTTAAGCATAGACCACCTCAGTCCCCTTATACTCCATTTCCACCTCTATTCCAATGACCTCCCCCTCTTGCCACTGCAAAAGCAGACTTGCCGGAGATGGTATGGCTCTCTGAAGGCCTAATAGAGATCCTATGAAGTTGGGCAAACACCTCCTCAAGAGAGGGAAGAGCAGAACCACCTAATACTTGTGCTCTAACTGACTTATATTCAAATTTCAAACCCACTAAAAACCTAGTCACATGAAGTTGTTCCCATTGTTGCTATTGAATTTTAACATTAGATGTCAAAGGATGATATACATTAATTAAGCTCATTCCAGAGGTTTTCCATACTAGCATAATACTCCTCAAGACTCTAATTTCCTTACTGTAGATTAAAGTACTTTGATAAAGTTGATACACTCTTGTAGTGTATCATGTTAGTGGTCCGATTAACACTGGTTCATTTCTAGGTCAGAAATGAGAGAAAGAGAATAGAGAAGAGGAGAATAGAGAGAAATGGCTGGAGAGAAAATCGCCCTCTCTCAATGACCACCCTCTTATTTATATGTTTTGGAGTTTAAGTACAAGGACTTTTATGTCACTAATTAAGTATGGGATACATAACTTTAACTGAGATAAAAGAGACAAAGCAACTATTAATAAGAGAACATAAATACTAAAATACCCTTGACTACCTACTACAAAACCTAGTAACTAGGGGCTTTCTATGGGAACCAGATGATGAGAGGAGGGATCATAGGGTGAGATGGGAATTGGTGATTAGAAGTAAGAAGTTAGGGGGTCTAGGAATTGGGAATATTCAGAAGAGGGATACAGCCTTACTGGGAAAGTGGCTGTGGAGATTTCCTGTGGACCAAGACAAACTGTGGACAAAAGTGATAAAGAGCATTCACGGGCTGACGGAAGATGGTTGGGATGCTGGAATTTCGGCTAGAGCTTCAGCAACAACACCTTGGAAAGCCATCCATGCCATTCTACCTTGTTTTCTACCCTTTGTCAGGTATAATTTGTGTTCTGGAAATATGGTGAGATTCTGGGAGCATGTGTGGGTGGGGGAGACACCTCTTAAAGATCAATTTCCTTCCCTTTTCTCCCTTTCTAGATACAAAAAACTTAACTGCCTTTTCTTTAGTGTCTTCCGTTGGCCCAGGACTTCAGATTAATTGGGATTTGGGTTTCAGATGAGGCCTTAGAGATTCTGAGATGGATTTGGTGTCGTCCTTGATTCAGGTTCTCCAAAAGGTTTCTTTAGATCCGATTAAGGGGGATTCCCGAATCTGGACCCTCTCTTCTTCTGGCTCTTTCAGTTGTGCCTCCTTTTTCAGTGCCCTGGCCCACTCTTCTGTTGCTCCTGCCTCACCCTTTCCTTCTAAAGAAGTGTGGGGAAGACCGGTCCCACCTAGGGTTGGAGCACTCTGTTGGGAAATAGCTTTGGAAACAATTAATACCTACGATCCTCTTCAAAGAAAGAAGCCTTTTTGGTGCTTGTCCCCGCACTGGTGTACCCTTTGTAAAGCGGATGGTGAGTCTTGTTCTCATTTACTTATATCCTGCCCTTTTATTTCTTCTATTTGGGAGTGGTTTCTCTCTTTATTTGGTTGCAGGTGGACTCCTCCATCATGCATTCGTAGCCTCTTCACCTATGCAGTTGGTTGCCGGATCAAAAAGAGGGGAAAAATCTTGTGGAGGTGTACCAAGGCAGCAGTTTGTTGGACGATTTGGGAGGAAAGGAACCAAAGGATATTTGCTGAAAAAGAAAGAAGTAGGGACACGATTATATAAGTAATTTCATTGAGGGTAGCACAATGGGTAAAAACAATGAATCTCTTTGAGGATGTTTCAATAGAGACCATCATGAATAATTGGCAGGAGATAGTTGTCTCAGCTCCCAGTAGACTGAATGTCTTTCCGACGTGGACCCCTCCGATGGAAGGCTTTATCAAACTCAACTTTGATGGGAGCAATGAAGGAAACCCAGGGCCATCAGGGGTTGGTGGTGTGTTCAGAACAGAGGCAAGTTCAATACTTCAGTTATAGCTCTTTTTTCTGGACCAATTGGAGTTGGAGACTCTTTGAGAGCAGAGATTCAGGCCCTCCTAGAGGGGGTAAAAAGGGCTAAGGAGTTGAATATAAATAAGTTGATTATTGTAGGTGATTCGCAAGTGGTAATTGGTTGGATAGAGAAGGCAAACGACGGGTTATGGGCTTACATTAATGAAAAAAGACATTTCAAGTGGCTAACCCAAGGAATGGATGTGCGTGTCTGGTGGGTTAAAAGATGTGCTAATTCATTTGCAGATACTTTGGCCAAACATGGGGTGTGAAGAAGTCATTTGTTTTAGGCTACTATGTAATCTTATTGTTGGGGGGTGGTAAGAGGGTTTACCTCCCCCCACCTTTGTATTTTAATTTTCTTATAAATTAATGAAAGTTTCCTATTACTGATAAAAAACAAACTTGGGTGGGCCCAACTCAAGCCCGAACCAGCCAAGCCCAAAATTTTACACGGGCTGGGCTCGGGCCCAAGAAATTGGGCTTTTCTATTTTTCGGGCTGGGCCCAAGCCTAGCCCTTAGGTAGCTCGAACCCAGCCCAACTATACACATGTATATATATGTTAATTTTGCATACATATTTACATATATATACATACATATTTTGCATATTATATATATATATATATATATAGTATACATATTTGCATAAATACATATATATGTATAATTTTAGAGTGGGATCATTGACCAGCCTAGGTCCAGCCTGGGCCCCCAACCCGAGTTCATCAAATTACAGTGTGGACTGGGCTCGAGTTGGGAAAATCAAGCTTGACCTTGGGCTCGGGCCTTAAGCCCAAATTTTAGGGCCAGGCCCGGGTTGATCATAAACCCGGCCCAACCCGCCCAACTTGCACCCCTACTAGTAACCCATTGAACAAGTCAAATGGGTCAATGATTCAATTATTAAGATCAATGGGTTGCTGACCAATTCAATGGGTTTTTTCTACAACCTAGTGGGGTAGAGGTTGACCCAAATTAGGATTGTATATCGGGTCACCAATCTGACCAGCCAGGTCAAAGACTAGTTGAAATCACTACTTACAACATAAAAACTCCATAAAACCTTGTATCACAGCTAGGGTATGAGATTCCACCTTCTTTCTCCCATAAATCATCCCTAAAGTTACTAGGGTTGCAACTTGGGTGGGCTGGCCAAACTGTGTCAACCCAAGCCCAATCCTAAATGCGTCAACCCAAGCCCAACCTGCATTGGGTTGGGCTTAGGTTGGGTGGGTCTGTTGGGTTGCACATATCATTACTTTCATATTATTGAAAATGAACCTTATTTTGCTAAAAATTCTGAAAAAAATATTTATTATATTACAACATAGCATTTTGACATCATATTTATAATTTCCAGCATATTTTTAGTATATATGTTCATTGAAGTCAAGCTATGATTGGATTTGGACCTACAATGGGCGAAAATTTTGGTCAGGCTTGGGCTACTCAATGCCTTACCCCAAACCTAGGCCATGATTTTGCTAGGCCCTAGTTTTTGAACTTGGGCCCAACCCAAAGCCCAAAAGTTTAAACAGAAACCCTAAAAAAGTTTGGGCTAGCCCTGGCCATTCTTCGGTTGGGGCCACCCAAGTTGCAGCCATAAAACTTATTGCAACTCTGATCTTAACATCATTGTTTTAAGTGTTTGTAGTGGCATGTGCTTGGGTGGAGATATGTAAAACAGAAACACAGCATAAAATAAAAGAACAATAAAGGAACTCTTTTTAGGTATTCTTCCACAAAGTGGTATGCTAGTGTAGAGGACTTGAGATGAACAAGAAGTCATCAGACAATCAAAAGTCTCTTCCAGAAAAACAAAGACTATCCCTGTCTCATCCCATCCAACCTTAATTTCTATGCTTTCAAAATAGGGATTTTATGCTACAATGTTGTATAAAATATCCTTTATTTGCATATTTGCAAACTTTATTAGAAAAAGATTAAATTGCATCATGATCATAAATTTAGCACATCTTACTTGGTGGTTGAATACTCAGCACCTAGGCACCTTTTTTTTTTTTGATCAATAACACTTTCATTAATTCATCAATAGAAGATTTACAATAGAAAGACAACCACGCTTATCTTCCAAGAGCAACAAAGAACCTCAAGAAAAGGAAAAAAAAAAAAGAAAGAGAAAAGAAAGAAAACACACTAAAGTTACAACTTGGCCCAAAAAAGTGAATCCCTTTCTGCCCCTTGTTTAGCTAAACCGTCAGCTAGGGAATTAGCCGATCTTTTAACCCAACGTATCTTAACTTCCATCTCCCGCACCCGCCATTTGAATTTCCTCCTCTCACTATTGTACTTCCATAAGCACCTAGGCACCTTCTAGCCATCATGTTACTTCATTGGCAATACTGATAAAAACAATCATTTCCATCAGCGTATGCCAAGTGAAGTCTATTTACAAAGAACATAACATGGACATATATTAAAGGAATATTTCATGATATGGAAAAAAGTAACTATCAAATGTGCTTCTTTCAGAGATTCTTAAATCACCATGTCAAACAACTTATTCCATAGATGATAGATAGATCCCTCTGTAGTGAGAATGGGCCGAATGGGCCTTCTTTTGCAATTTCCATCCACAGGTAATGCTGACTAATGTGTGGTTGCATAGAATTCACTAACCAGGTAGGATCATCCCCCTCCGGTTTCTTCTTGCTCCCAGTAATATAACCCCATTTTCCTCTACTACACACATGTATCTTAATAGATTGAGACCAAGCTAAATAATTGGTCCCATCTAGCTTCACAGTAGTCACAACCCCAAAAAAATTCTCCACTGACCCCCATGTCCAAACCCGAAAACTGTGGAATATTTGGTCTCTCCTCCAGCTTGCTCCATTGAGTAACAGATGCAAATGAAAATCAAATTAGGGCTTACTAGGCTAGATTTACTGTTCTAAGCAAAAAACAGCCTTTCGACCCCCAAAAATTAGGGTTTCACAAGGTCCTGTGGGATGAGAGAAAGAGAGAAACTTCAACTGCCCCTTCCAAAGGTTCCAGAATTCAATCCAACCAAAACCGCCCCTAATAGAAATCAAAAGGCTTACCTATGATCCCCAAGCGCCTGGTTCAAACTGTCTCTATGACCTGTAACAAGGTTTCTCCAGTTATCTAGGGTTTTTGGGAAAAATCTCCAAGAACCTGCCATAGGCTTCAACTAAGGATGAAAAGCCTCCACAAAACTCTCCCTAACTGGGCTGCATAAGTAGCTGATTGATCAACTGATCAGTTCTCATACACACTATGCATGGGCAAAGAAAGGAGAAAAAAGTCAAAAGTGAGAACTCGCTCTAATAGCAAGTTGAAAATTACACCTACAGTAATTCAGATAATGCAAGAAAAGAAGAAAAGAAATAAAGAGAAAGAAGAAGAAAGAAGCTTCAGCAATAGGTTGTGGAAGAAGAAAAGAAGGGAAGAGAGAAAAGAAGAATTCGAACCTCTCTCTCTAGCCCCCTTTCATTACTTTTATTAATAATTCTAAGTCAGAGTACAATTACTTGGATGCCCTTAATGGGGCAGCCAGTACTAAAGAAATAATTAAAGAAAATAAAAGAAGGCCCATAAGGCCCATAACTAAGAAATATAACTTTTAAATACTACTTAAAAGAAATAAAGAACACTAAGGCCCATTCGGTCCATTCTCACTCTGAATCACTGTAGGTGTAATTTTCAACTCCCTCTAAATGCCAACCACTCTACACATGCGTATATAACACAAACCGTTGGTGACACAGAAAGTGGAAGCATTTTAACCTTCTTCCCGAACCATTCTAACAATAGAAAACTTCAATTTATTAAATTACTTTTACCACAAAAGTACAAGGTTTGATTGACTTCAGCAAGTTCCTATCAATGTTTCAAAGTAATTTGGATTCCCTTCAATGAGTTCAATTTGAGATTTTAAACCTTGGTCACAGTTATCTGACTCAACAAATAAGCACGGCAAGGTACCCAAGAACTTCTCTCTATAATAGATCATTTTTATATTATATTTTGCAAATAGAAATCCCATTGACATACCTGAGATTGAATGAAATCCACAAGTTGCTGCAATCTTGTAGCTTGGTGACTATGAATTCCTATTGAGCTTCTTTCAAATGCTGGCAAGCTTTCCAGAATAATTTGAAGATAACTCTGTGCAGGTGCAGAGGGGAATAAGAATAATCAATGAAATCAATGTCATCATGCTCAAGCACACGAATACACAGGTAAGCACACCTAGGAATTGGATTACATATTGAATAACAAACCTTGGTTGTATATGAACCATCCAGGCTAAGCGATGAACCAGCAGCAGCCACTACATCTTTATTTGTTCCTTTAATTTGAATGTAAGGATTTGGGACATCTTGTAGATGATCAACCTCAATAAGAATCTATGGACATGATAGATATGCAATGTAAGCTTAAAGCTATGAAAATCAGATTCTGAACCCTTAACATACTCATGTTGAAAAAATGAAAAGTACATGTTTCCAAGTCTCTTATCAAATAATTCCAACGTGATGAAATATGCAAATAAGGAACTCAAGAAACAAATGATATGATAAAAGAAAGAAATTTGTATAAAATATTCCTTATCAAGAGTAACTGATCAAGATAGATGAATCATACTGGAGTCTTTTCCCTAAATAAAAATTTGGTTTCATCTTCACCGACATGGTATCACAAATATTCCTTGAGATTGTTATCAAATATATAATAGGTTTACCCAATTTTCTTGGAAGATGAGGCTGAAGACCAACATTGGGTAATGGCCTTCTTTTACAAGGCTTAAGACAATCTGGGGTTGATTGGATCAAAATCCAAAAATTGGATGAGTGTTAATCCTTAGATAGCAAAAGTTGCTGGATAAATGGGAACCATCATGGGTGAAGTACTGTGCACTTAAGTGGGTTAAAGTGAAAATGACACATATTCTTTGGTGCAAGCACTACCTGAGGGCAGTAAAGGAGCATTGGCATCAGTTGCCCTACAATCACAGCTAGAGATCCAAGGGCCTATAGTATTCAGAGACAAGCTCCTGAGTGGTAATGATAATGAGATATTTTCTTGCTATTTTACATCTTCCCCAAGTAAGCAAATTTATTCTCATAATGTTAACTTTGTCTAACAAGTGATCTTTCTATGAGGAATTATCCAATAAAAATGGCAGAACAGAAAAATCAACAAACCTTTCCATCTTGGTAAATTAATGCAGATGCTTCAATGTATGCCACAGCTTGATACCTGGCATTGGACAAGAACAGGCAAATGGCATATCAACATTCTGTAAGATGCTTGGCTGGCAAGAAAAAATAAAGAAAATTTTACTGTTAGTGGACCACATCATTCAGTTTTGCATTCTGGAACTTTCTTGCATTTTTTAGATCAGTTTTGTAAGGAAAAATAAGTCACTTGAAATAAAGTTTTTTAGAGTCAAGAATATCCTGTGGGCCCCATAACTCTATAGACCAACCAAAAATTTTGCAGTAGGTTGTAAAAGTTCCATAGAAACTACCAGGATGATAAGCTCTGAAAGAAAAATCAACTTCAATTTCAATTTCTAGGTTCTGAAAACATGGCCCTGCTAGTGGAATTGGAATAGTATGCTGTTTATTTTGTTACAAATCTCATAGAAAAGGAAGTACCTTCAAGGCTTGGACCAATTTCTTGATGACTCTAACGTTAATGAAGAAAGCTTTTTTTTTTGATAAATAACATTAATAGAAGAAAGTTAAGAGCAATAGATTTGATACATACTAATAAGCACAAAAGAAAAAGGAAGAGAGATAGATAGCATATCCAGAAAAGGCATCTGTGATTTCCCCACTGCCAAGAAGCATAAGATGCACCACCAGAAAAGGATTACATATGACAATTAGGTCCTACTTCAATGTGCTCTTCTTACCCAAGGTTAAGAAGTCCAGCAACTGTGCTTATGCTGATGTCAAAATCCACTTTAGGCTGTATGATAAAGTTTCCTTCTCTAATTGGCTAACAGAAACATTGCATAAAGCAGTCAAGCTCTCGCATGCAAGTTAAAGCCACTTTGATAAAGCATAAACCAGAACATAGACCAGAAAAAGAATGTTTTAATAAATGTAAGCACCAACCTCACGTATTAATAATGCAAATCTGCCTTCACACATCCGAACTCGTATGCATTCACTTTCAGCCAGCTGTCCATTAGAAGGTGTTCCAGGTAGCCGTAAATATATATCAGTAAAATTCTGAGCAGAACTGCAGAACTTTGCAGGGTCAAGTATTCCCAATATGTCCTTATATGCCACCTGAAATAGAGAAGGAAACAACAAAATATCATGTGAAAGCACTTTAGAGGAATTTCAGGACAAAAGCACTTTGAATGATTTTACCTGTTTATTACTTTTAAGAATAAACAGTGAGCTCTCAGGAGAAAGCACAGGATCAAAGTCATTTCGAATTTTAAGCTGAAATAAGACCAGAAAACATAACATTAATGAAGTTATCCACACAACCAACTCTCAGGAGTGAAAAAATGTCAAACAAGTACTCTGAGATAATTTCCCAGTCAACTAACATGTGCGTGAACAAGATGGGGTTCGATGTATTGCTGGAACATGGGAAACACTGTCATCATAATTTCATTCTGTGACATAAAACATCCAACCCGGTTTTTGTCCCTTTGAACTCTAGAAATGAGATGCGAATGCACGCCTCCTACCTGTCAATTATTAATTAAAAATAAATTGTAGGATCACAGAGTTCTTCTCTCCATCATCTGAAACCAGTCACCAGGAAATTTGGAGGCGAAGAAAATAATGAGAAATAAAAGTTATATTCAGAAAAAGAGAAGATGCCATCCTTACAACAGCTATCCACAAGTCAAGTGATTTTCGGATATCAGGATGCAGAGCATACACTCCTTCAAAAATAACCTGATCAGATAGAGAAAAATTAAACGATCAGAAAGACTCTGAACTAGGTATTAGGTGAAAGTCAACAACTTTAGAGAATAGTGATCATCTTTAATTGTGAAAGTTGTGTAGCTATATATATTAGATGAATGATTATCTGATAGGTGTCCTAACAAGCAAAATACATCTCCACATAAAATACAAACAAAATGCCTCAATATTCAGTTGCCAATGTAACCATCATAATAAAGGTGCCAGTTTTATGATTTTGAATGTTTAATCATCTGTTACTCATCAAAATTAAATAAATAAATAAATGTTTAAGAAGTTCTGCTTTTCAACAACAGGGATCACCATAAAAGTGGAATCTTGAGGTACAACAAATATCATAAATGGCCTTGCCAGAAGCAAACTATCACAGCAACAGTTTTAAGACCGCTATCACCCCTAGTTGGTTTGTCAATGTGTCAGTGTCATATTAGTAGTGTTGAACTCTCCATGTGATTGGCAGCCTTAGAAGATCATAATTGCAATATAAAATAGAAATAGAGCCTTATGGGAAGTGTTGAACTCTCCATCCTAGATTGTCTATTACAAATGATTTTCAACTACCAGGATGTTCCTTTTTCAAATATGAACTTCCATTCCCTTTCTCATGCACACATACAAAATACAAAGAAAGAAAGAAACACAGAAAGATGACCACTCGACATCTCATTAGATTCCATTGGACAAACTAGAATAGGATGTAAGGAGCTAGAGAAGGATCTAATCTCCAAAATGATATGGATTAGCAACCAATAAGGCAATAACCGAAAATAATGACCTGCCCTGGCCCTTGGATGATGATGACGGATAGGAACTGTAGGTTTTCAAGACTGCTATTCAGTCTTGATCACTAAGAGATTTTAGGTTCGATGAGAAGAGAAAGTGAAGAAGATGTAGAAGAAAGAGTGATGGAAGAGCAATAGAACACA